ATTTTCCTTCGGCATTCGAACGAGGTTTGCGTTCTCCCCCCCCCCTCCTCCTCCTCCTGCTCAACCTCTGCCACTCGCCCCCCTCCCGAGCCCCAGGGATCGCCTGAAGAGGCCCTCCAATACCACCCCCTTGCTCCAAAGATCGTTCCGTTGACCCTGGTTGCCTGCTCTGTTTCACTACATGCGTCTCTTCGGGGTTACAGGCCGACCCCCTCCCTGCGATTTCGTCGTTTCAGCTTTCTCTGTTCTGGCTGCTCGTGCAGGACATGGCTTGGTTGATGTGTTTGTTACTTTCGAACAAAAAAGCCTGAACCCCAAGCCCGCAACCCGCCATGTCCTCGCGTTTCGCATACCACGACGAAGAGATAGTTTGTTTTCATGTTGGGCACCAGTCGTGGATGTCCTTGCCGCGGCTCATGTGTATGTTTCTCTCGTGTACAATAAAATTAAGTACGCTCATAAGCGCCCCAAGCCCCGGTCCCTTCCATCTCCTACCCCTGCCCTGCCCGTCCCCGCTTTCCTGCAGTTTACCGTCGCCTCCCCCGCCATCGGCCGCCGTCTCCACTGATACGCTCTGCTGTGCTTCGCTAGCCGCGGTAAGCCCTGCTGAGCTCTGCAAAGCCTAGGTAAGCCGATCTAATCATTGCGAAGCGTTGCTCAAGCCTGCTAAGCCCTGGTGGGATCTGCTAAGCCTTGCTAGCCATTAGCTCTGCTGAGCACTGACCAGTCCTGTTAAGTCCTGGTAGGCACTGCGAGGCATTGGTAAGCATTGAAGAACCTTGCTAAGCCATCCTACGCCGTGCTAAGCGTTGCGCTGCTCTGTAAAGCTCAGCTGAGCCCTGCGCAGCTCTGCCAAGCCCTGTTCAGCCCTGGTAAGCCCTGCCACGCCCTGGTGGTCTTTGCTATGCCTTGATCATGTCTGGTAGCCCCATGCTGAGGCCTGCTGAGACCTGCTACGAGCCATGCCCAGCCTTGCTCAGCTCTGCCAAGCTCAGTTGGCCCATGAGACGCCCTGTTAAGCCTTGGCCAGCCCTGCGAGATCCGAAAAGCCCTGCTAAGCTTTGCTCTGCCCTGCTTAAACTCTGTTAAACATGCAAAACCCTGGTGAGCCTTGGTAAACCGCGAAACCTTGATAAACTGTGCCACGTTTTGCTGACTCCTGGAAAGCTCGGCTAAACCATGCGTAAACCTTGCTGCGCCATGCTAAGGCCTGTTCGACTCTTTGAAACCCTGCTCAGCCTTGATCAGCCATGGCGAGTTTTGCTAAGCCATGCTACGCCGTGCGAAGCCTTGAGCCTTGCTTTGTTGAGCCCTGCTATGTCCTGCTCAGACATGGCAGGCCTTGCTAAGCCCTGCTTGGCACGAATATGCCTTGCTGAGCCTTGCTGGGCCCTGTTAAGCACTGCTAGCCTTGGCAAGCTCTGCTAAGCCCTGCCAAGTCCTGGCCCGCCCTGCTGAGCCCTGCTAAGCGCTGGTAGGCTTTGCTAACTAAGTCCTGCTAAGCCCAGCTGAGCACGACTGAGTCAGTTTAGCTAGGCCCTGGCGAGCCCTGCTAAGTCTTGCTGAGTTAGATGAAGCCTTGCTAAGCCCTGCTAAGCCTTGCTGGGCCCTGGTAGAGATTGCTCAGTCGAGCTAAACCATGCCTGCTAGGCCATGCTGAGCATTGCTAAGCAGTGCTGCTCTCTGTCCAGCCCAGCTAAAGACTGCTAACCTAAGCCTTGCTAAACCCAGCTGAGCCCTGCTCAGTCTTGGTAAGCTCTGCTACGCTTTTGTGTAAGCTCTGGTAAACCCTGGTAAGCCCTGCCAAGCTTTGCGAAGCCCTGGTGAGGCTTGGTAAGCCTGGGCTCGCCGTGGTAAACTTTGAGAAAAGGGAACCCTTGGTCGGGAATCCTTGACAGAGAACCCTTGGTGAGGAATCCTTAGCGATGTGTCCTTAGCAAGGTACTCTTCATCTGGAATCCGAATGAAGAAATCATGATGTAAGAATCCTTAGTAGGGCGTCCTTCGTAGGGGTTCCCTGCGAAGGACTCAATGGTGAAGAAGATTTAGTTAGCGCGGTATCCTTCGCACAGGGCCCTCAGTATGGAATCCGAGGTACGGAGCGCCAGTAATGAATCCTTAGTAAGGGATGATTGCCTGGGACTCCGTAGTAAATAATCCCTGGTAGGAAATCGCCGTCGTCGTCGTCCCCTCTGGCCCCTTCCTGCTCCCTTCAAATCCAGCGCGTGGGCACCGCCCCGAGGTGAGCGCTGGCGGTGGCAGACTGGTGCCCTGGGGGGGCAAACAAACACTGATAATGTGTTTGAAGGGGCTCCAGGACACACAAATAAATACACACAAGTCAAAACATTCCCCATAGTTTCTCATATTTTCTGGGTTTCTGTCGTCCGAGCATGTTTTTAAAGCCAAAACAACTTTCTTAGAACATAAACCCGACGTGTTGAAACAGAACAGCCCCGGCCAGAAATGCTCTAAGAACAAGTCGTGTAGACCACGAAAGGTTCTTAGAACATTGTTTGGTAGGCCTATAGGCACGCCAGGAAGCTTCGCCACTGCTTGAGAGGGGGAGAGAATGGAAGGGAAAGAGAGAGGGAGTAACTCCGGTGAGGATAAATCGAGAATCTCTGAGATCTGGCGGCTCTGGAGAATCTCTCGGGCGCCGCGGCCTTCTCAGAGCGTTCCAGGACACTCTGAAGGCGTTCCGGCACACTCTGGAACGGACAAATCCTTGGCCTGGCCCCGCCCGAGGGAGGGCGGGAGAGAAGGGGGCGGCGCGCGAGCGGAGAGAGGGCCGAGGAATGGGATCATATGAGTTTCGCAAGGGGATTCGGCCCCGAACCCGTCTCCTTGTTCCTCTCCCCGTCAGCTCTCGTGGGCAGGGACTCTGAATGGGCTGGCGGTGGTGCGCGATGCGCGAAGCATCGAACCCCCCAGAAGTGGACGGGTGGAGGAGGAAGAGGAGGAAGAGGAGGAATAGGAGGAGGAGGAGGAGGAAGAGGAAGAGGAGGAAGAGGAGGAGGATGAGAAGGAGGGGGGGGGGCAGAACGACGAGGAGGGGGAAGGGTGGGCAGGAGCAGCAGGAAAGAGCAGGGCGAGCGGCGGGAGGCGCGCTCGCGCCGACCCTGGGCTCCCGGGGTGGGCCTGGCCAGGATCGGTGCGCGTGTGCAGCTCCCTTCGCCTGGGTGGTCTTTCGGCAGCCTCCAAGACGGAGCCACATAATGTCTATGTGTGTATGTATGTCTGTATATACGTTTCTGTGTCTCTATGTTTATATGTTTGTATATGCATGTGTAAGTATAGAGATGCGTAAATATGCATGTATGTGTGTATACATATATACACACGCCCGCACACACAGGATGAGGGTGCATTCAGGTGATGATCAAGCGAGAATATCTGAGATCCGACGGCCCTGGGGGATGTCTCGGGCGCCACGGCCTTCTCAGAGCGCTCCGTAACGCTCGGAGAGCGGTGTGGAGCGCTCTGGAACGGAGGTATCCTCGCCCTAGCCTGCCTTATGTCGGGTATGTCATCCTACAGGCGGATATTTGGAAGAACAATAAGACATCGCCGGGACAAACAGTGTCAAAAACGGTACACAAATCGCGAAGCATCGTCATCGGCCTGTTCTTTACTATTCGTGAGTTTTCCCCCTGCAGAGGGACATGCCTAAACGAACCGTAGCCCCGTCCGAGTCTCCGAGGCTGCCCGGCGAGCCCGTCGGGGAGGGGCGAGGGCGGATCCCGAGAGGCTGCCGCAGGCGGGGCTCCCAGGACGGAGAAAGAAGCCGCGCGGGGCACGCGGCTGCGCAGCCGTCTGCGCGGGCAAGGAGTGGCCCGGACAGGAGCGGCCCCTGGCAAGAGACCCCAGACTCGACTCGATGATTCGGATCGGCGATCGACATGCATCGGGTCGGCGGAGGTCGACAGCCGAGCCGGGAAACGTCGAATCGGCGGCGTCCGCAGGCTGGGATGCCTGCAAGGAGAAGTCGGAGCCCAGCTCGGAATCCCAAGTCGGATCGAATCGGAATCGTATGCCACCGAAGTCGCATTGAACTGAGTCGGAGGAATCGAAACGAGCCCTCCTCCTCCACCCTTTCCTCCTCCTCCTCCTCCTCCTCCTGCTCCTGCTCCTGCTCAACTTCCTCCTCCTCCTCCTCCTCCTCCTCCTCCTCGGGTGCACGGCTTGCCGATCGCTGAACGCGATGCGACGGCAGCGGCCTGCGCTCCCCCCCCCGGGAGCCGCGCGCTCACCTCTGCGAAGGGCACTCCTACGTCCGGGGGGGGGAGGGCCGAGGGTGTCCCTGGCCCAGGGTGCCCATGGGCGTTGCGCTCCACGTTGGAGCCCCTTTGGGACTCTCTTCGCCTCGTAGGTGCTCTCGAGCAGGGCTCGACCTGAGCGGTGTCTTCCGTGTTCGTGCTGTGTTGAAGTGTTCCCCTCTTGCTGCCTTCGCTCCGCCTCGGCTCCAGAACGAAAACGGCCCAGGAGACAGCCAAAACACCACTTGGGTCGAGCCCTGCCCTGGTGCAGGCCGTGGGTGCCTGCTTGGAGACCTCTGGGACACACCTCTGGCAACACCCGAGGCGTGTGGCCCGTGGGTGCGATGATGGAACGGTAGGGGGGAACCGGCTCAGGGGGGGGGAAGGGAACCGGCTCAGGGGATAGGAGGAGGAGGAGGAGGAGGAGGAGGAGGAGGAGGAGGAGGAGGGGACCGCTTCAGGGGCGGGGAAACCTCGACCCAGTATCGACGATACATCGTTGATAAATCGGCGACAGGCCCCCGATCCTCACGCTCCTGGGCGAGATGGGTGTCGGGCCCAATATCGGCGATCAAAGGGCGCCTGTGGGTCGATGCGTTACCCCCTGAGCCTGTCCCCCCCGAGCATTGCCCCGGACTTGGGCCAAGACACCTCTCGCAGCACCCGACACGTGTAGCCCGTGGGTGCAACCAGAAGAATTGCTCAACCAGAGGGATTGTTGAACCTCCCCGCCAAACTCTCCTTCGGTTGTTGAAGCCCTCCGTGTCGCAGAAGGACCACCACTGCCGGCGCAGCGGCCGCGGGAGAGAGGTCCTACTTTCAACCTCCTTCTCCTAATCCTCCTCTTCCTCCCCCTCCTCCTCCTCCTCCTCCTCCTCCTCCTCCTCCTCCTCCTGCTCGTCTTCCCCCTCCTCCTCCTCCTCCTCCTCCTCCTCCTCCTCCTCCTCCACCCAGTCGGCGTTGGAGGCTCAAGCAATTTGAGTTCCGACGGAATGAGGACTTTCACTGAACCCCACTCACACGACTTCCGCCCCATACATTATCCAGTGAGGGGGGGAGGAAGTAGGGGGAGGAGGGACGACGGACAATAAACAAAACAATCCCTGAAGCCATTCCGATACCGTACCTTTTGCGTCTTCTTCTCAAGTGCATGAATCGCACTCTGGTGGTGGAATTGCCTTGCGCCGCAATTGATTCCGGAAGTCTGTGGAGGATTGGAGCGTGACCTTGAAAAAAACGACGAGGCAAAGATGATGAGAAAGGATCCGCCGCACCCACGCCAGGAAATGCCAAATTGCCAGGATTGCCATCTGCGAACAATTGGTTGACCAAGAGCCGTCGTTGGATAGCCGTCGCCAGAGAGAAGATGGAGGCCCCGAGGTTCGGAGGCAACCGGAGGGTGTCAACGAAAAGCCTCGAACACCAATAAGAAACAAATCCGAACTTTGGGAACAGATGCAGCAGAAAATTGGAGACCAACTGCTCCCATGGAGTCCAAGAGGGCCTGCGGATCATTCATTTGTTCGGCGGCGAGCGAAGATAGACGACAACGGTACGAGGGAACATGGAGGCAATGAGGTTCGGAGGTCGTCGGCTGCGACCGATGAAAAACCTCAAAAATCCATAGACCCCTGCTCTCCAGCCGATGAGAATTTGATGTGCCGCATCTGCCGTGATGCCGAAGGAAGATTGGAGTGTGACCTTGAAGCAAATGAGGAGACAGAGGCGCAGAGAACGACATGTTGGAAAAGTCGGCAAAGGAAATAGAAGATCAATTGCGTCAGTTGAGGAAGAGCCAGAGGGAATATGGAGGCCCCGAGGTTCGGAAGCCACTGGCCTCCGCCAGTGATGAACCTCGAAAACCCATGGTCTCTCTGCCGGCAAATCGGAGCATACCGCAGGAAGTTTCCGAGGTGCTTCTAGATAGCGCAGGTTCCTTGCTTAGGGCGAAAGGCGTTCAACAAGAGTTGCCTTCTGGCCTCACGCAACAGAAAGTGGAGGATGCACAGACAGAACTAGATACGTTAGATTTCTTCACAGCATATGGAGGAAGCAAAACCAAACTGAGCCCGACAGGAATGTTCCATCTCCAAGATGCGAGTTTAGACCAAGTCGAGAAAATTGGAGCAATAAGTACCTTGGTCCGCGACGCATGGAAATACGATTAGTTTGGCGAGTTTGTTTCCGCGGTGGAAATTCAGCGGCAGTTGGGCCTCGGAGGCACGTGCTGCACTTTTTATCAACTCGAAGACATCATTTCAGACTGGGTGTCCTTAGGCCGTGTTTTTCCAAATGGAAGACAAATCCACGTCCTTAGACAGATAATCACATTGAAAAGAGATGGCGTGCGACTTCCTTGCACGCGCCGCATGTCTTCCCAATATTTTCTGAAGAGGTAAGTGTGACTTTGCAGAGGAAACAAGAGCAGAGGTTATGCATCTCTGAGCGCGCTTAGCGCGGTAAGCACCTGTCGTGGCGCAGCGAAAAGAGGCGGAAGGGGGGGAGGGTGGGTGTGGGGTGGGGACTCTGTTCGAAGCGTTGGCAGCAGGATGTAGGCAGCATCTTCATCAGGCCCATCAGCAGGTGCCTGGGGTACATGGGGCCTCCTGCATTCTCTCCCCACCCCTCTCTCCCCTGCGGTGCCTCCCTGTCTCTCGTCGTCGGCCCATGTTCTGAATGCGCCGCATGGTTCCCAATTTTTTCTGGTGTATAAATGTGACCTTGCAGAAGGCGGAAATAGGAGAGGTTGAGCATGTCCATGCGCGCTTGGCGCGGGAAGCGAAACCTGAGCGCGCCTGGCGCGGGAAGAACCTGTCTCGGCGTAGTGAGAGCGAGCGAGGACATCGTGGCGTGCTGGAGCTCCTGCGTTGGTGGAGGGAGGGGGGGAGGGAGAAGGTGGGGGGGGCTCTGTTCGAAGCGCGGCAGGGTGCAGGTAGAATCTTAATCAGGCCCATCAGCAAGGGCTTGGCGTGCAGGGTCCTCCTGCTTTCTCTCTCCCCCCCTCTCTCCCCTGCGGTGCCTCCCCGTCTCTCGTCTTCGGTCCATCTTCTGAACGTGCCGCATGTTTCCCCGAATGTTCTAGTGTATAAGTGTGACCTTGCATCAAGCGGAAATAGGAGAGGTTGAGCATTTCTGATCGCGTTTGGCGCGGGAAGCGAAACCTGAGCGCGTTTGGCGCGGGAAGCACCTGTTTCGGCGTAGTGAGAGCAGAGAGCACGAGCGAGGACATCTTGGCGTGCTGGAGCTCCTGTGTTGGTGGAGGGGGGGGCGGGCATCTCGGAGCGCAGGCGCTCTGGCTCACAAATTCAAAAAGGGCTCAGGGAACCCCCTACTTGGGAGCCCTGCTCGCCAGCGCGTCCCCCAGGAAGGGCGCGCGAACTGGCCAGCAGCTGTTCCCCTCGCGCTGACCCGAGAGACTCGTCTTAAGCAGCGAGCTCCTCTTACGGGGCCACCTCGGAACTCCCCCCCTGAAGCTCGGGGCGGGGCGCGCGGCATACCAGTCTCTCGCGGGGGATTTTGCCAGACGCGCGCAAGGCACCACTCCAGGTGTGTTGACGCTGACCCCCTCTATACGGATGTCCTCTCCTGTCGGTACTCGCGGTGCCGCTGTCCCTGGCCGTCGCACGCCGTGGCGAACGTGCGCGAGTCTCCCCCGCCTGCGGCCGCGGCGCCCACAGCCAGCGGAGGGCCAGCTGGCGCGGCGGGGGCAGCTCCGGCGGCAGGGGGGCCAATTAGCCACCAGCGCCGCGAGCCCTGCGAGGCCTCCGGCAGCAGCCGGCGCCGCGCCGGCGGCTCCAGCCGTGGCGGCGGGCCGGCGGCGGGAGCGTCCGCCGCGATGCCGCCAGGAGGAGGAGGAGGAGGAGGAGGAGGAGGAGGAGGAGGAGGAGGAGGAGGGGGAGGAGGAGGAGGAGGAGGGGAGGGGGAGGAGGAGGAGGAGGAGGAGGAGGAGGAGGAGAAGGAGGAGGAGGAGGAGGAGGAGGACCAAAGGGCCCAGGGCCAGCGCCCGCGACCACCACCGCGAGGGGAGCACCCGACGCCGACAGCAGCACCCGCCGCAGGAGGAGCAGGCGCGCCGCTGCCCGCGCGCCGCGGGGCGTGCGCCGCGCGCCTGCCCTGCGCCGAGCGCGCGGGCCTGCGCGGGAGCTGGGCGGCCGTGGGCCTCTGGCGGCGAAGGCGCATCGCCTGATTGAAGGGGATCTGGGACTCACAAATAAATACACACAAATGAAAAGTTTCCCCCATATTTTCCCATATTTTCTGGGTCTTGGTCTTCCCCCCACTCCCCATATTTCCCCATATCCTCCCGCATTTTCTGGGAATCGCCGATGGATTGTGTCTGTGTGTGTTTTCTCCCCTCCTGACTGATGCCAGCGGAAGTGACCGCGCCCGCTGGCGCCGCGCCCCCCCCTAGGAAGGCACCAACTATACACCAACACCGATCCTGGCCAGGATCACCCTGGGCCCAGGATCGGTGTATACGCCCTCCTGCCTTGCGCAAGAAGGCATATACACCGATCCTGGGCCCAGGGTGATCCTGGACCAGGATCGGTGTTGGTGTATAGTTGGTGCCCTCTGACCCCCCCCACTCCTTCCACCAGGTGGAGGATGTCGGCGTTCCGTGCGCCGCACCCCTCGGTGTGGGCGTCGAGATCGGGCGTGGGCACGGCGAGGGGCGCGCTCCGGCGGCCGAGACGAGGAGGCCGACGGCGGTACGCGCGCTCGTGCGCGGGCCGCGGAGGAGGCTCGTCGTACTCGACCCAGACATGTTGCTTTTCAGGCATGGCCCCCCTGCTGAAGAGTTTCGAGCGGAGTCCTTCTGTGGAGGGTTTCAATAGGAATCCCTCTGTGGTGGATGTCGATGAGAATCCTTCTGCAATGAAAGGAAGAAGAGAATTGAGGATCACGACGACGAGGAGGCGCAGGACGACGGGGAATATGATCGCCCTCGGCATTTCCTCAGAACCTTGAAAACGCAGGCCCCCGTTACGACGGTGAAACCGCTCGGGCGACCCCGTCAGAGACCGGCCCGTCCATCCCTGGCCTCTGCACGGCCACGACCGTGACAGATTGCCTGGTGACGATCCACGGCCGCCCCAAGAAGGCTGCAGGACTCCCCGAGGACAGGAGAACAGTCCGAGACGGCGCCGTGGTTCTCAACTGTTTCGAAGAAGCCCCAGAAAGCTCAAACCATACCCCTCCTTCTCACTGTTCTCCTCGCAGCAATCCTTGTCCATAGCACTCATCCTCGAACTTCTCCTCCTCCTCCTCCTCCTCCTCCTACTACTTCTCCTTTTCATCCAACTTATCCTCCTCCTGCTCCTCCTCCTACTCCTCCTCCGCCTCCTTCTCCTCCTCTTACTTATCCTCATCATCCTCCTGCATGCCCTTCCCTGAACACAGCGGCCTGCAAAAACACCCTGTGCGCCGTCGCGCGCCAGCAGCGTCAACACCCAGGCCGCCAACGGGCGCCGTCCATCCACGACGTGCGAGCAGCAAACAATAGCAACTTCGACTTCTGATATTGCGATGGCACGCTGCGAACTCTCCGTATGCTGCGTGCTAGCGTAACGCATGGCAAAGGGGGACAAAGAACTGCCGGCGTGAACTCCAAACAGCTGAGATCACTGCCCGCGCAGAGCGGCACGTTCGTTGTGCCATAGGCATATCGTGCAGACGTGCACGTGCTGGGCGCAAGTAGGGCCCCCCGGCCCCCAAACATTGCTTGCCCCCCCCTCGGTTGGGGGGCCGTGGGCACGCGCGAAAAGACGTGCCCCGCGCGCACGCGCGCGCCAGGCGAATGTCGGGCCCCCCCCCCTCCACGCAGACACCTTCACCTCCAAAACTGTCCGCCAGGCGCATGCTGACCCCCCCTACAGTGGGGCGTTGACCCAAGGAACCCTAAATAAGGAACGGGGCCCCTTCCTCCGATGAATTGAGCTTCGATTTCCCATGGAAAACCTCCGGAAAACAGAAAGCAAACTGCAGAACAATCCAGGAACACCGAGCCCCTCCCCAACGAAAAGGGTTCCTTCTTCATGCAGGGCCCCGACTGTACTCTGCGCACCGGACTTTCACCCGTGAAACATCCGCCGCGCCCAGGGTGGGTCCCCACCTCCGGGGGCCGCGGGCGCGTGAAACTATCAGGGGGACGTAAGACCTGGGTACGGGGGACTCGGAAATCCCCGACGAGGTCGTCAAAAAAATGACGAGGCCGAGCCTGCATTTTGACGAGGCCTCCCGCTGCAGACATCCCACGAAACTCCTCCTCGTCAAAATCCGAGTCGCGGTCGTCAAAAAACGATGGCGAACCCGAGTCCCGGCAAACCCGGGTCTTACGCTCCCCCGAAACTATACGCGCCCCGCGCGCACGCGCCCGGCGCACGTCGGGCCCCTCGCTGGGGGCCCCGTCGTGGCCAGGAACGCGGAACAAGCACGTGCCCCACGCACGCGTACCGAGACTCATGCTGGACCGCCCCCCCCCTTCGCACACGTCATTTTCTTACCTTTCCCAATTCCGACGCCCACTCCTCGGCGCCTGTTGCTCGACACCCCTGCTGGTGGAGGGCCCTTCGCCCTCAAAGTAAAACAGAGCCCTGGGCCAGAGCTCTTCCCGGGAACAACGCAGCCATTTACACACAGATCTATTTAGCACCCCGCAGTTGCGTGTAAGAGAGAACCCGAGTGGCTTCATGATGCGAGGAACCCTTTCGTCCAGATCCATGAACCGGGCGGGTGAGTAATAAGTGTGATGGTGTACCTGGCGACGAGGGCGATGGCAACGACGATGACGATGTTGAAGTTGATGACGACGGCGGGGATTATGACGACGACGATGGTGATCGTGATGAAGATGTTGGTAACGACGGTGGGAACGATGCCGCTTGCGATGACTGTCACAATGATGCGGATGAGGGTGAGCTTGAGCAAGTACGGTTGCACGGAAGTTCAAAAGGTCTTACAGAATGCTGATTGGAAAAACCATTGGGATTTGAATACGTACCTCGGTTTTGAAATTATTTGAAGACGAACGATTTGAACGGTGTGTGACGTGCGCGCGCAGAAATGCGCACGTGGCGTCCGCAGAGAAATGCTTGACAGGTTTGCCGGGCGTGCGTTGATTAACCCCATACTTCTGATAATATCCCCCTGGGGATCATGAAGTTCGGGGCCCGGGGGGGATAATAAACGTTATTCCAGGCGGCGGATGATGGTGATGAAGATGGTGCTGATGATGATGATGACGATTATGATGCTGTGGATGATGATGGTGATCCTGGGCGTTCGTGTAACCAGATCATGGCACAAAGCTGTCCTTGGTGTCCTGACTGACTCGGGAAAGGCTGAGAAAGTGAGAATCCCATGGCCCTGCCGCACGGTCGTGACTTGGGAAAGCTAGAATGGTGAGAATCCCATAATCCTGCCACACGCTAGTACCTTGCTGAAAGCAAAAATGGTGAGACCTCCATTGCCATGCTCAACGTGTTTGACCATGTTGCTAGTCAACATAAGAAAGTAACAATTTCGATTCGCAACTTCCCCCGCGACAATCAAGCTCGGCCTCGCCGCCCCTCTCCACAATCAAATCTGTCTGACCCAAGAATAAGAACCACTCAGGGGTTAAGGGGGGTGATACTCTGCATTATCCGGGGAACGGGGTTATTGAACATGTTTGACGTGCACTCGCGCGTGTGGCCCGCACAGTGTCGTTCGACCACATGGCCAACAAGCCATGGGTTCCTGAAGATTTCAGAGTGCGCGAGGGCAGAGATCTGGCAACTTGTGGCGGGAAGAAGCTGAGTGTCATGGCTTTCGATACGTACAACATTGCACTGTTCTCAAAGAAGCCATGCTGTGTCAACGATTTTGCCATGGGCTCGCGGGGGGGGGGGCGCGGGCATTTGGCCTGCGTCGTGCGAGTCTGACAGCACGCACTTGTCAAATCAACGCGTGCGCACCGGACGCAATTATGTGAACGAGGGAGCGGGGAAGAATACAGGGTCGGCTGGCATTGTTGTGATCGCCACCGCCTCGTGCAAACCACGTACGGGAAGGAAGCGCAAGGAAGCGGGCAAGGCGGGGAGGCACAATCCCACCAGCCCTCTGGGCGTCGGTGGTTTAGAGAGTTTCCTCTTCCACCCCTCCTTCTTCCCCTTCGGGGAGGGGCTTACCCCTCCCCCTACCCCCTCCCCTGGACCTGGACAAGGGGGGCCGCGAGGTGTCGGAGCGTCCAAAACGGCCTCGAAGGAAGCCAACAGCATTGGTTTTACCAGGGTGTGGGCCCCATTGTGGCCTCCTGAGGGGGGGGGGGAGCTGAAATTAGTAATCCCCCCTCATGTGATCGATCTCACCCAAGATGGCCCAAAGATAGCCCCCAAGGCTCCCAAGGGTGCCCCAAGAGGGCCCCAAGAGGTGGTCAGGAAGCCCCAAGAGGCCCCTAGGATGCCCCCAAGAGGCTCCCAAGAGACCCCCAAGAGGCCCCAAGAGACCCCCCAGAGGCACCCAAGATGTTCCAAGAGGCCTCGGCGACAATGCCAAATCATTGATGTCAATGAGGTTTTAGCCACATCTTGGCCTCTTTGGGGGGGGCGCTGATTAAGATGACTCCAAGAGCGCCTGGGAGAGCTCAAGATGACCTCCAAGATGGCTCAAGTTATCCCAAGATGTCTCATAATGGCTCCCACGATGCTCCAAGATGCCCCAAGACCGCTCCAAGACGGCTCCCAGTGGCCAAAGAGCTCCCCCAGGAGGCCCCGAAGAGGCCCAAACCTAAGGACAATCCATGTGTTTGGCTTTCTCGCCTTTTCGCTTCCGATTGCCATCCGAGGCCTCAAGGTGGCTCCAAGATGGCCCAAGAGGGATCCAAGAGAGGCTCAAGAGAGCCCCAGGACGGCCCCAAGAGCGCCTACGTAAGAGCGCTCCAAGAGCGCCCCAAGAGCGTTCCATGAGGCAATGTGTTGGGCTCCCGAGGGGCAACGCTAACTAATGCTCGCTTCTTGTTTGATCGATGTCCTCCAAGATGGCCCCACGAGCGCTCCCAAGTCTTCAAAGAGCGCTTCAAGAGGGCCCCAAGAGGAGCCCAGGAGGCCCCAACAGGCGCCAAAGAGGCCTCCAAGATGCTCCCAAGAGACCCCCAAGAGGCCCCAATAAGCTCTCCGAGGCACCCAAGACGCTCCAATAGGCCTCCACTGGGGGACCCTTCCTCTGTGTGCTGCGCACTTCCCTGATCGAGGCAATTCCTCTGGGCATCGTTTCTGGATGGGCTGGTGGGGTTACGCGACGCGTCCAGAATTTCATTATTCTTGGGAATGGTAACGGAAGACGCGCCGTCATATGGTGCAAGATGATGAACTGCGTAGTGCCATACGTGTGCTGCGTGCTGTGTTCTTCAACTTAGGTGGTGCTATCTGTGGTGCAACTCGGGAACCGCCAGCCGAAGCACGAAGTGCACACGAGACGCCCACCTGCCGGGAGTCTGGAAACGCTAGCCAACGCACGGGGCGCCCGCCCACGGACGCCCACTGGCCGAGAGCCCGGGAGGGCGGAAAACCGCCTTAGCACAGGCACTGATGAACAGATAGTTGGAACCGCGCCCAAGGGGCAATGCTGAATCTGGGCATCGGTGTCGCCAGTCAATCGGGGGCGCGCAAGCATGGACTAGAGATCCATGGATTTGGCGCGCGGTTGCCAAATCGATGGATTGGGGGAAGCGCCCTCCCCAAAATGCGGCCAATGCCGCCTCGTTCGGCGGCGGAAATCCGCGTTTTCCCATGGAAACGGGTCCCGTCGCTAATCCACGCCCCCTTGATCCATGTTTGCGATCGCCTGAGTCCCCACTGGTCTGGATACCTGGTGCCACCAGAAAGCACTCGGTGCTGCTCCACGCACACGCTGCAGAGATGCGGTTTCTGGATGCTGGAGCAATCGCACAGTCACCAAAAAATTCCCGCCACGCTGTCGACACCGAATCCTCAGTATGACAGCAGGACACATCCCTGCAGAATCGACTCTACACAAATGCCTATCTGAACGGGGCCCGCACATCGTCGCGTCCGCAACCGCATTGGCGGGAACGCTTCGGAGAGCCTGCTGCTTGCCCTCATCACTTTCCCGTTGTAGTTGCTTGATGCGGGCCACCAAGTCGGCCTTCTCCTCATCATCGCTGTCAAGGCCTCTGTAGGACACGGGCCCCTTCCTCCCCCCTCGTCCTCGTCCAAAGCCCCCCCCCCTCCCCTCTACCCCTCCAATGGGGTTGTTGTGCCCTTCGGCGAGGCCACATGGGCAGCACGAGGAGTGGACGCAGACGAGGATGAGCAGCAGCAGCAGCAGCAGCAGCAGGAAAGGACCGCACACACGCCCCGCTCCTTGGCCTCAAAATCGCCCCCGCGCGCCCGGGAGAGCTACTCACCCGCGGCCCCCCGCACGCCTGGGCAAGCTGGCCACATCCGTGGGGGGAGGGCGGGCGCGGAACCTCCCCCCCCCGCCCCTCGTCCTCCGCTTCCCGTCCATCCCCCCTCGTCGTCCTCCCTCCTCGCCCTTCCCCTCTCCTTTCCCCGCGCCCCTTCCTCCCCTGGGGGGGGGGGGGGGGGGAAACCGATCTTTGCGACGGAGCCCAGGGGCACACAAACAAATGAACACGAATCTCAGGACTCCCCGTATTCTCCATCTGTTCTGGATGTTCGTCTTTCCCTAGACTTCCCTGATGTTTCATCTTTCCCTGGGAACCGACAAGTATTTGTGTCTGCTTGTGAGTGCGTGTGGTTGTGTCCAGTGTGTGTGTGTTGTTGTTGGTGTTGTTGTTGTTGTTGCTGTTGTTGTTGTTGTTGTTGGTGTTGTTGTTGTGTGTTTATGTGTGTTTATGTGTGTGTGTGTGTTTGTTTGATATTGTGTTTGTGCCTGTTCTAGTGTTTGTGTGGGCTTGTGTGTGGCGATTATTGTGGTCGTGTTTGTGGTTGTGTTCGTGGTTGTGTGTTGCAGTTGTGGCTGTGGTTTCAGGTGTGGCTATGGTTGTGGTTGTGATTTTGTTTGTGCTTGTGTATGTGGTGATGTTTCTGTCTGTGCTTGTGCTTGTCTGTGTTTTTGCGTGAGTGTGATTGTGCTTGTCGTTATGTTTATGTTTGTGTGTGGTTGTGTTTGTGTGTTGTTTGTGGTTGTGGTTGCGGTTGCGTTTGTGTTTGTGGTTTTGTGTGTTTGTGTGCGTGTGTGTCTGTGGCTGTGCTTGTGTTTGTGCTTGTGCTTGTGCTTGTGTTTGTGTTTGTGTTCGTGTTTGTGTTTGTGCTTGTGTTTGTGTGTTTGTGTGTGCGCAGTTGTGTTTGTATTTGTGCTTGTCTTTGTGCTTGTGTGCATGCGTGCGTGCGTGCGTGCGTGCGTGCGTGCGTGCGTGCGTGCGTGCGTGCGCGTGCGCGAGTGCGTGCGTGCGTGCGTGCGTGCGTGCGCGTGTGCGTGACCGTAGCCATTTTGGCTCAAGCCTCTGGCTCAGGACGCTCTGGACCACGGTGGCGGAGGAGTGCCGACCGGCCGCGGCCCGTCCCCCTCGTCGGGGGCCCAGGCCGGTGCCGCTCGTCCGCTCGGCGCCGGGCCGACCGCAACTCGTGCCCGGCGGCGGGCAGGGCGCTGCTGGTGCCCGACTGTCTGCACTGCTGCCGCTGGTCCGGCCAGCGCGGTGCGGCGGTTTGGCGGCGCGCAGGGGGGGGGTAGGGGGAGGGAGGAAGGCTTCTCAGAGGCACCCCTGCTTCTTAAAAGGCGCGGGCCTTCTCTATAGAAGGAAGGCCGAGACCTTCGAAGAAGCAGGGTGCTTCTAAGAAGCCTTCCCCCCTCCCCCTACCCCCTTTTGCGCGCCGCCAAGCTGTGTGTGCGTGACCTTCCTCCTGATCCACTCGGATGGTGTGGCCTGGCAAGGGGAGGGTCGAGACCTATGCTCCTGGGAACTCCCGGCAAGCTGCCCGCGAGTATCGGTCGCGCGTCGGGGTCTGGCACTGTTGCGCTGATACTTGTGACAATGCGCCTCGGGGCGGCAATTTCGTTTTCGCAGCCCGTGCTGAATGCACATTGTGTGGGGCTCCGGGACCGTCAGATCTGGCTGTGGCGCAGCAGCTGCGTGTGGTCTGGCCTCAGGCGCACGAGACAGACCCGAAAAACCTCTACGGCGCTCCGCGTCTTGCCCAGGCGATGCCGGCAGACAACGGGGATTCTTGCGTTGAGTTGCCCAGGGTGATTTCCCAGTTGGCCCAGCTCGTGGAGAGTGTGCGAGTGGAGCTGGAAAAAGCACGTTTGCGTTCTGAGAGAAGGGAGCGGGAGTCAGACTCAGTGGCTGAAGTTCCGAGTGCTTCGCCAGCGCCTCGCGCGCGACTGGCCTGGCTGAGGTGCGCAAGTTGTCTACACATTTCAGATCGATCTTGGCCAGTATAGTCCCGGGAGCTCGCAGGTGCCCATGCTGTGGGATGGTGGCTGACTCGCGACATCCTTACTGCGGAAGGTGCGGTGGAGGAGCTCCTGTCCCTTTCACTGCGGAGAGTGGCGGCGATGCCGATGCCAGGGAGCCTCCGTCGCGGCACAGCGGGCCTCGCCCAAGAGCACCAGAGCTCGATGCGCATGCTCTGGCCTGCAGCGGACATACGATCGCTGATTGCACCACTGCGAGCGAGAGAGCCGCCTACATGGCCGATGCAACATATGTTGTTGTAGAAGAGCCATTCCTCCAGGGGCGCATGCAGCGTCCCTGCTTCAGGAAATGTGTTGATCTTGTCGCGTCTGTTGGCACAGTCCGCAATCCGAAGGCACGCACCGCCGCCGTCGCTCCTGCCCAGCGGCTCCCTGCCCCGTGGTGCTCCACTGCGCACGGCGACGCCCCACCTCCCCTCGCGCGGTCCGCGGTGGCCTCCCGCCGGCACTCCGGGCGGCTTGCGCTGCTCGGCTGCCGCCCTCGGTCGCCCCGCACCGGGGCGTGCCCTGCGCCGCGCGCTGGGCCGGTCTGGGTGCCCTGCTCTGCCGCCGCAGCCCCCCGCGCTGTGGCCCGGGGGTTCGCCGGCCCTCTCCAGGCGTTGCACACGCGCTGCCTCTGGCACCCTCTGGGTCCTTGCCGTGCCCTCCGCCGGCCGGGCGACATTCGCCGCTCTGCCAGTGTCTTGCCCCCCTGTGCCTGGTGCTCAGGCCCCCCGTCCAGTCGCCGGCTTCTGGTGCCCTGGGCGCTGCCGCTCCCCCGCGCGTGGCACCTTGCCCCGCCCGTTGGCCTGCGCCCCCTTGGCCCTTTGGTTTCGGCGCTCGCCCCGCCCCATTTTGCTCCCCCTGGGCCCGCTCCCATATTCTGGCGTGGCCCCTCCTGCTGCCTCCCGCCCACCGGCTACCCCAGATTTCTCGTAATAAAAGGGAGGGGGTCTGGACCCTCCAAGACCCCCCCCCGTGGGAGAACCGTCCAAAACATCGTCCCCAGACCCCCCCAGGCCCTCCAAGATAGCCTGGAAGAGACCCCCCCGAAATGAGACCCCCTCCCTTTTATTACGACATCTGGAGTAGCGCTTGCTGCACTTGGCGCCTCGCTGAGCCGTCGCCGCTCCGCCTCCGCGCGCCCTGCGCCTCGTGGGCCCCCTGGCCTCGGCGCTCCGCCCGCCCCCCTGTGGTCTGCTCGCCCGCCATCCACCGGCGCCCTCAGCTCCGCGCTGCTGGGCGTGGCTTCATGGGGGGGCCACAAAATGGGGGGGGTCAGCAAAGGTCCCCTTTCGTGCCCCTTTCGGGCCCCTCCAGAGCCCCAGGGGGCTCGTTTAGGTACCGTTTGGGTACCTTTTCGGACCACCCTCGCCGCCCCCCAGTTTACGACCCCCCCATTACGCGGCGCCCAACGCTACTCCCCCTGAATGGCCCCGGCTCTTGGTCGTAATCCCCCGCTGTTCGCTGTGCCACGGCGGCGCCTGCGTGGGCGCTCTCGTGCCGGCCCGCTTCTGCCTCTCGCCTCCCGCCGCGCGTCGTAGGCCCCCAGGTCTCGCCCCCCTGGGGCCGAGGCCACCGGATCACTGGGGCGGGTCTCTGGTTCGCATGTGGTTCCCCCACTGGCCTCCCAGTCCGCTGGGCTGCCTCACCCCCCCCGGTTTCCCGTCCCCTGTTGCGCCAGGGTTCCTCCTCCTCCCTCGTGCATCGCGGCTTTTATTTGCATGCAGCGTGTCCCCTGTTGTTTGCCCGCCAGAACAGTCGCCCTCTGCCCAACCGCCGACGCAAAAAGTGTGTGTGTGTGTGTGTGTGTGTGTGTGTGTGTGTGTGTGTGTGTGTGTGTGTGTGTGTGTGTGTGTGTGTGTGTGTGTGTGTGTGTGTGTGTGTGTGTGTGTGTGTGTGTGTGTGTGTGTGTGTGTGTGTGTGTGTGTGTGTGTGTGTGTGTGTGTGTGTGTGTGTGTGTGTGTGTGTGTGTGTGTGTGTGTGTGTGTGTGTGTGTGTGTGTGTGTGTGTGTGTGTGTGTGTGTGTGTGTGTGTGTGTGTGTGTGTGTGTGTGTGTGTGTGTGTGTGTGTGTGTGTGTGTGTGTGTGTGTGTGTGTGTGTGTGTGTGCACGTGTGCGTACGTGCGTGTGTGCGTGCGTGGGTGCGTGGGTGCGTGGGTGCGTGTGTGTGCGTGTGTGGTGAGCGTGCTTTTCCCCTCATGAATTGGGGGGGCGACGTGGAAAGATGATGTTGGACGGCTGGGCGGCGCCCACACTATGGGGCCAGGTCCCCCGACCGACGGAGGGGTGAGAACTCTTTGAGGCCTGGCTTGGGGTCACCGGCAACAACACAGAGGGTGCACCGACCGTGGGGATGGTCCTGGACTCTTGGCGGTGGTAATCTTTCCAGCCACCTGGGCAGCCCGAGCCCAGTCAGCCCGTACAAGAAGGACGCACGATGCGAGTGCAAGGGCCTTGGAGGGCCATGTCGACACTCTGCGAGCGGGGCGCGGTCAGCCAAAGTGGCCAAGGATGGGCCGAAGGGGATGCAAGGGTGACCTTTCAAAACTGCTCATCCCTCCTATGCGGGCTGACCGTAGTACCACCATGACCGAGATCGGGATCATCTTCCCTCGGTGGAGGCACACCGCCGATATTGCTGCTGGTGTCAACCTCCAGGCCTCTGAAACTCAGATTGCTGCTGGGGTCGGTTGGAAAAGCAGGGGGCGCCGAGGGCCGATGCCTCGGAGCGGCCCAGGGGGTGGCGGTTC